TTGCATTTTCGAAATTATAATTCCGGCTGCATGTGCAGCTGCCAGAATGCAACGTTTTGGCGTAGTTTCGTGGCGATGCAAGGGGTAATTTGATAAAAAATACAGAAAAAAATTGATTTAAAACAAGCCCTTGTTTTAAAACATGCTGTTATTTTTTAGAATTGATAAAAACAAAACCCTACTGGCAGCTGCCCAGGGTACCGGAATACAAGTTTCAAAAATGTAGGGAAAATTCTTGTTTGCACATCCACGTTCTCCTCGTAACTTTATCGCCAAGTTAGTACCGATACCAAAGCTATAAGATTTCAACAGGAATGTTAATCAGAGATACGCTTTGAGTAAAAAAGGGAAAGAAAATCATGAAGCATAGCTCACGGGCCTACTACAATTCCAAAGCAGTTGGATCAGGGGCGAAACAAACAACATTTGGCAAAACAAGTGCGTCAATAATATAATAGAGAATATACTTAGATCAGCGGCAACATATGTAGGTTCGAATCAGGACCGGATTTAGACGACGATTTAAAATGAATTATAGTTCAAAATTGATTGTCAAGGCCCTTGAGGTTTAACCTCCCTGGGTTTTAACTTACCTTGCCTAATGGTATAATTGGCCCTGGCCCAAATCCCAAGGGTGATGTGGCAATGTGCAAGAGGATTGCTGGACTTCCCGTCGTCACAGGGGGTAATGGTGTGTCGATTCCGTCTTCCTCCGCCAAATCGTCAATATTTTTGTCGTCGAAGGGTCTATTGCGAATGGTTGTTTTAGTTTTACCATATTTAGAACAGAAAAACAAATAATTTTCGTTAGGCAGTAAAATGCAATTATTTACTGTTTATATATGTTTCATACAATTTTGTGCAAGAAAGTTGCTACTGCCAATAGTAGTCCTAAATCGATATTTAATTACAAAGTATTTTTCACAATTATATGCTCACCAAATGCTTGGGTCGCGAGAAATTAAAATTATTATTTAGTGTCGCGCCAAAAAGTACTTGCAGTACTTGCCCTGCTCTATGGTACGGTCAAAAATCATCCGAATACATCTCTACCGATAACATCAAATAAAATGACCTTGCAAAATGACAACAAATATGGAAAATTAGGGAAACAAAAAATAACGAAAGACTTATGCCGAGATATATGGACACGGAAGCCAAAACGAAGTAGTGCGGGTAGCGGTATGCAATCTGCCACAGTAGACTAACGCGAAAGCGAAAAATACAATCTTTAACCACTGAAAATTTCACAGTAATTGGTCTTGTGGTTATGACAAAAGCGATGATTCTTATCGATATAAAAGAAGAAAATACCAACAAAAACAACATAATAACAAAACGATCCATATATACAAGAAGTGTACAACAAGAAAAACAACAACATAATCACAAAACGATCCTTTTTTACATTCCGTGTCCAACAAAGAAACTAGAATTCGGTTGGAAACCGAAGACTTATCGATCGAAGGTTAGGGGATCCCCCAAAACAGTGGTCTTACTCCATAGTGACATCGTGTGTCCCATCACTAATTAATTGATAACTCGCTAATTATACGACATAATCCATCCAAAATCAATAGGCTTCTGATCCAAGCTAAGATGGATGCACATGCGAAATTTGGAGCAGATTGAACCTCGCTCTCGTGAGATATCGCGTGCATCTAACACACAGACATACAGACAGACAAATACCTATAAACACACTTACCGATCAAGATCGATAAGTAATTAAGACATCGGGTATTTCTAACTATTTGGGGTTCAAATGTGGTAAGTTTTGTGAAAGTTGATTTTCCTTACAGGACAATCGAGTTATTTCGAAATTTTTGGTCCTGTGGACAAAAATTTGCTGAATAGAATAGAACACTACTGAATAAAACAGTGGTTCTCAAACCAGAGCCATTATATAATGGCTCTGCTCAATCAGTGGGGTGCGCCTCACAGCGTTGACAATTTTTTGAGGGATTGTGTAACTCATGGGTGTTCAACACGAGACCCGCAAAGCATTTTTTGCGGCCCGCGTCGTGGTTTGAGATTGAGACTAAAATAGTGTGGTGTCAACTATGAGTTTTATCGTGTTATTTAACATCAAGAGTCCGGTACAACAAACTGTTGAAAGTAAAACAACAAAAAAACGTTATTCTATTTTACCACGTTCATATTTTATTTTCTTGTAATAATTAAATTGTAAATTCAATCATTTCTTTTTGCGTTTTTATTAGGACGAAATAAACAAGCTTCGGCCAGATCATGGAAGTGCTGTGAATCATTAGTTGACTATGAATCATATGTGCAGTTAACGCAAAACTAGATTATTATAAACTTATGAATCACTACACAGGAAAAAAGTATCGCAAATAAAATTTTCACTGATGAAACAGAGAAATTTTTCCCAGACATGAACAAAACTTGTGAAGATTCGACGAAAGAAAAATTTGCCATAAGCGAGGTGATTGCGAAATCGTCGCGTTCTTTCGTTGAGTGAAGCTTTATTAAAGAGTGTATGTTGAAGGCTTGTAAAATAATTTTTTAACAATGAGAGTTAACAAATCAGCCTTTCGCACACGACTAACGGACGAGAGTTTGTATGCTGTCTAAAGACCAGCAAACCAACGCAAAATAAGGCTGTACATCGAGCGTCTCACCGCTACAAAATGGTGTAAGATTCAAGCGGTATGTTAGTCGTTGGTTAGTCGTTGGATTCAAGGTTAATTTCAACTAATGTATTCAGATTTAATTTGTTTATTTTTGTATAACAATTTTGTATATAATTTATTAGTTTGCGGCCCGCGTCGTCAATAAATTTCAAAAAGTGGCCCGCGACATATTTTGAGTTGGAGACCCCTGGTGTAGCTGATTGATGTATTATTGTTGTAGACAAGTTTCTTGGTATTGTTGTAAACTGCTTGTCTGAAGAAGTCCGATTTTGGCCAGGCGAAACGTTACAGAAATACCTTTGTGTTAATGTGCAACAGGACTCTTGAATTGCATAGTATGGTATTTTATTCCCACTACAGCATTCTTGCATTATACGCATACGGATCCACTAGCGCAAGGGCATTGAGGAAGGATTGGGAGTAAATAAATGTTAAATTGCGTGAAATACGAAAGCTATCGGTACGCCGTGTACACTACAGGTAAGATACGTACGCTAATCAACCAAGTAGATTGGATGGAACCGGTAAGTTGAATTTAAGAAACTTTAACAAACTCAAGATTTAATAAAACGTCATGGCACCAGAAATTCGATGTCATAATAAGTATAAGTTTATTTCGACTCCATAATCAGCATAACTATACATTTGACAAATAAGAACAAATAAATAAAAACTGATTATGGAATCAGGGGAGCAAACGAAACCTAAGATAAGGTTTATAACGTACAAAATATAAGATGGAAGGTTTTGCCAAGAGGAAGTGGTACGTGTTTACTCACCTAAAATTATCAAGTTATTTCACACACGCTCACATGCACCCACCAGCCACACACACACACACACAACCACTGAGAAGTTATTTAAATAAGAATAAAACGCGATGAATTTAGGGTATACTGTACAGTAAACAAAAAATAAATAAATAAATACTAGAAAATAAAAAAAATTATTTGCCACACTATATTGATATTTTTGTAATGGTTGCCATTGCCAAATTGATCGATCTTTTAAGCGTTAATTAAAATATAAAAGGAAGATTCTATTGAAAACATATTGCCAAGCTGATTATAGTTGGAGTCAAATGCCAAGTTGCCCAACCAAAGTTGCCAGAATTGGGTGCATGAAGAGGTGGGCGAGACCATTTCATTCTCCAAATTAGAGCCTATTATTGCCAAATTAAAGTTACCGGTAACAGAAAAATTACTATAATTAAGTAAAGTAGGATATGGAAATAAATTGGTTACAAAGGGTGTAAGTGAGGTTTTTCATTCTTGGGTATTGATTTCAGACAAGGATATGGACCTTTCCCCGACCTTTGACCCCCGGAAAATTCTTCCTATACTTTACCATTGCAAACTTTTCGGGGCTATTTCAGGAGTGCTTTTGCGAGTTGGCGCCTGTAAAACGGGTATGTGTTTCAAACCATCATTATGATTCATCGCATACATCAATCTGTTTTTTAAAAGTACCGGTAAAGAATTTCAGGCTAGTCTATCACAGCTATTTCTACACTAATTTTTATTACTGCAATTAAATTTAAACTCCTAGGAAGACAGAGTGATCATTGAATTATCTGATTTATATTTGAGTTTCCGAAACACAACTGAAAACTAACGAATAAAGTTCAAAAACGCGAAAACGAGGTAATGTTTACAACCACGCTTGAAAATCTGTCTGAGTGAGAAAAGTGTCTGAGCGGATGCGAAAAGGGGGCATTGTTACGTCACTTTTTGCATCTTGCTGATTGGCCATTGTCACGAAGTAAACAAGGAAGTCGATGCTCGGGGAAAGGTCCATAGGAATAAGGTTGTTATTTCACAGCATATTGGAATCTTTTTTGATTTTTTTCCGTACTGTAATACACGCTGGTCGCGAGAGGTGGGTAAGCATGGCTCAATTACGGTACCAATAAATGGGTCTTACTACTTACTGAATACAGCGCGAAACACCGCAAAGAGCGCGAAACAGAAGGAAACCAGCGCAAAACAGAGGGAAACAGCGGAAAACAGGAGACGCAGTCATTACCACCTCCTGCCACGAAAGAACCACGGCTCCTCTCGCCATGGTTTTGTGGCGCTATTTCCGGTATATTTACAAGGTTATGTACCGGATTATAGGTCATCATGCGAAATTTTATCTACCTTTTTCAAGTGCAGTTTTAAGTATTCTGTGGCATCTGCAGCTGCCGCAAAACCATGGCAGTATTTCCATACCATGGCCGCTACGGCCAAACTCATGGCACCTGACTTTTTAGCTGCCACAAACCAATGTCGAGCTGCCGTTACCGCGGCAGCAAATTGAAAACCAATGGCAGGTAAAATTTTGCTGCCGTAACCGCGGCAGGTGGGCCGTAAAGACAGGTCTGTCTATTATGGTGACAAATATTGGGTAAGTTGGAACGTTTTTCTTATGGATACAGTTTTGATTGATTTGGGATTAGGGTTAGGGTTTAAGTAGATATAATTCCACATGATCAATTAAAATCTGGTACATTAATTTGTGAATATACCGTTAATACTGATTACTGAATACTGAATAGCGCTATAAAACCATGGCAAGAGCTGCCGCGGTTCGTTCGTGGCAGGAGCTGCCATGAAGTGGTAAGAACTGCGCCTCACCTTTTTGGTGCTCCAGAAGTATGTGCAGCAATATGTCGCACAACCTGAATCCGCCACACACACACACATACTATCTTCAGGTTGTGCGCCATCTTGGTGCACATACCTCTGGAGGTCCCTTTTGATCTAACCCTAAAGCCAACCATATCCATATGGAAAATGTTCTAAATTATGGTACCCAAAATGTGTCACCAGCAGGGGCAGACCTGCCATTACAGCATTACTGGCTACATACGTTGGTTTGTGTTTTTAATTTGCTGCCGTGGTACGGTACTTCAACTAAAAACAAGGTGCCCCGAACTCATTGCAAAATTTTTTTCTGCTTCACACTGTTTTCCTCTGTTTTGCGCTCTTTCGCGCTGTTTTGCGCTGTTTCCCCACTGTTTTGCGCTGTTTCCCCACTGTTTTGCGCTGTTTCCCTCTGTTTTGCGCTCTTTGCGGTGTTTCGCGCTGTATTCAGTAAGTAGTAAGACCGCCAATAAATTACTGATACATAAAATTATCTCTATATTTTGTGAAATAAACGGTTCTACGATAAAGATCAAAAATAGTTACTAGATGTAAATTATATTAAAGCATTATTTTGATAAAAACTGTTCAATTAATTTGAATTTTCAAGGTAAAATTCTGGGCCACAGAAACATTTTTAGATAGGCCACAAACCTATTGGAAATTGGTCTGATGGTGATTTTTGCTACAGGGTGGAAATTTTCATTCTAAATATTAAGGTGGAATTGTTGGTTTTTTGCGGAAAGAATTTTTTTCTCTTATACTGAAACACTGACTTAATGGCCACAAAATTTTTCGCAATGAAAATGGGCCACAAAAGAAAAAAGGTTGAGAACCAGCCTATGTCCACAACTGGTGATTGAAACAATTGTGTTTTTTATTTTCTGTTTTGCTGGGGTTTGTACAAGGTAAGCCTATGTGCGAGTGTTTCATGCGGTTATCAAATTTATGATTCATTGTTGATTAGATTATTGAAGTTGAAGTGTCGAAGTAAACTTATACCTATAAGACTTCAAATTTGTCATGATGCAGTGATGGCTGGATGGCAAACTGCTAAATGGGTAATTAACAATGCGATAGCAAGCATATTTCCAACACTCTGTACGATGCGCCAACTTCCAAGATATTAATTATAAATGGAATCTATACTCGTAACTAAAATATATTTGTTTTAAAATTATTTGTTCTTCCTTCCTTTAGATGGCACATTTTATGTTTAAAAATATTAATAAATTAGGCTTCCAACCTTTATCGAGTTTGTTAAATCTTGTTGGAATCTTGCCTACTAGAGGATACAGAGAGATTAAGATAAAAGAGGAAGATAATGTAACAACAATTGAAGGTAAAATGTATGAAGATGACAATTCTAAGTTTGTTGATAGAGATAATCCAGAAGATACATGTCCAATACGTAGTCGAGGAATTCAGGTTACATATGAAGATGTATTAATACTCAATCAGTTCATGACAAATAATGGAGATGTGATTCCTCGTTCTATCACTGGACTATGTTTACGAGAACACCTAAAAGTAACAAAAGCTATTAAAATGGCACAACGTGCCAACCTATTACCTGGTGAAGAACCTCGAATAGATCATTTGGGAAAAGAAATACCAAAGCTGAATTGTTATCTCACTAACTTTCCCATTGGTTCACAAACTGCTGTGAAAAGACCTGGACCTGTTTGGAAGAGAAGATATTATAAAGTTGGGGATCCAGTTGCAGCTCAGGATGCACCAACAATAAGTAACCGAAGAATACGGACTGGTCACTAGGGATGACTTTTTGTATATTTGTATGATAGGCGTATTGAGCACGACAATGCTATTTAATAAAGTTAGTTTAATGCAAAAGTTTTGGAAACTAGTTCCAGAACTTGTTCAGGTCTTGGGATTCAAAGGGCACGTATCATCTTTGTTAAATTTCATTATTTTGAAGTGTGCAATTCCCAATATTAAGCTCAGGCTGTCAGGGGTTGAATGCTGCTAAAAGTAAGACTTTTTTTATCGATAACTATTGATAAATTATAACGGTGTTGTAGTTTCATGGTGCTTATACAAGGTTTAGCAATATGTACAAAATACAGATGTATCTAATAAAGAAAGTTTATGAACTTGAATGTGACTCAAACAATTCTACCGCATGTGTAACGACATTTAGTGTCAATTATGAAAAACAATGACTATGACATGTGTACTACATCAGTTCAAATTTATAGTTCTCTAATTTTTTGTGTCTAGCCTTGCAATTGTGGTGCTCCAGTGTTAATTGCAGTAAGTTTACTTTGTAGAAGGTATACATCTTTGTTGGCGTGAAATATTATTTTACCATTCTATGTCAGTTGAACCCAATATGAATCTTAATACTCCAGGTAATATGCTTCAGTTTGTTACAAGTAATTGAATGGACTTCACCCTTTTTCCTTTTTATAGCCTTGATTATAGCATCATAATGTCTGGTGATCCTGGTGGAATAGATCAAGTAATTTTGGCAACTGGTAGTTATGATCACACAATCAGATTCTGGCAAGCCCATAGTGGGTTTTGTACAAAGACTGTTCAGCATCCCGACTCTGTATCCTTTTTATAAATTTTTTGTTTTAATAATCTCAAAAGATAGGTATTCGTTGTTCATTTAATCCAGGGTTCAAGTTGAAATTTCCAAAGTTGGGAATGTTCGACTGATCTGAGATGACCCAAGTCGTGACCGCTGAGATTTTCTTCCTTCATCAAAGACCCGCTAGACTCAATACATGACTCTCAAGTTATTAATAATGCAGTTGGTAATTTGAACCAGGATGACGGTTTTCATGGAATTGCTGAATACTAGAAGTAAACATTTTATAAGATATATAATTTCAATTTGTATTATTTTCTCACTATACGCAAACATCAGCAAGTGAATGCGATGCAGATTACTCCAGATAAGAAACACCTAGCCGCTGCGGGATACCAACATGTCAGGTTAGTGGTATTGCATTGTTTTTTTTTGTAATCGTAATAGTTTAATGAAGTTAAAAGAGTTTCAGAAAGTGTAATAGTTACATAAATTAATGAATACTTCTAATTGTGATGCTATGAGGGAAGATAATAATGTTGAAAATTCAAGATTTAACATCCTTCATTGTTTCGGCTTGCAACTCCACTCTAATTTTTGTAATGGTTGACAATTTTTATTCAGAATGTACGACATTAAGTCCTCTCATCAAAATCCAATAATATGTTATGATGGACTGAACAAAAACGTCACTGCAGTTGGTTTTCAAGAAGATGGTAAATGGATGTACACGGGTGGAGAAGATCATATGGCTAGGATATGGGACATGAGGTAAGAAACTCATTGGACATCCCATTACCAGGAATCCATGGATTTACAAGCTTTTTGATAACATTTACTATAACTATGGTAAGTTTTCTTGTTGTTATGCACTGGTTCTACTCCTGTTCAACCAACCTATTGCTGATGCTCCTGGACTATTGATTCGCTCTGTGAATGTTATATTTGTTTTGGTAGCTTCTCCATGGATTTGGTTTTAGATTTATTTATTTCAATCCGTTGACTGTATCAAGAACAGTTTTCTGATATTTTATATATATATATATATATAGGTCTCGCAACATGCAATGCAATAGAATGTTTCAAGTAAATGCTGCGATAACATCAATATGCCTTCATCCAAATCAAGCAGAAATGATTGTTGCTGACCAGGGAGGATGTATAAATGTTTGGGATCTTAGATCTGACAAAACAGAGCAACTGGTACACTGATATTCATTTTTGGACTTTGGCTAAATCTGATATCATTGAATATTGATATTTTCAAATTAGAGCAGATTTTAGGATCATTTGTATACATTTTGAACATTTCAAGAATTCATTATTTACATTCAATGAGTACATAACAAAAATGTATGATGTCCGAATATTATTTTCCATTACTTTGCATCACATACCGGTATTTGTTTTTTCATCTCGCTAAATAAAATGATATTACTGTTTTATGATGCAACTTTTCTTCTATGATTTAGATACCTGAAGTTAATGTTAGTATTAACTGTGTTGATATTGATCCTGATGCAAGTTATCTCGCTGCAGTGAACACACATGGTGAGTCTATATTTATACGTGGGTAGTCGGTGTTGCTTTGAGCTGAATCTTTGAGTTGGTTGTGGTGTGCTTAGGAATTTGTTGAGCGCTCCAGAAGTGTGTGTATCAATATGGAGGTAACTAATTTTGTTCACCTACTTTACATCGAGTTGTGTAAAGGGATTGGAACCTATGGGCTGGGGGTATATTCTCTTGGCTAACACCGACAGTCTCCGAACTCTGATAGAACTAAAATGGGGAAAATCAGAATAAAATTATGGCCTAACTCTACCTTGGTACACACACACTACAGGAATACCTTTTGTTGTTGGCAAGTCTCAATATAACATATTTGTACGAGCAACTAAAAATGTAATTACAGTAGTAAATGATACCAGTACCACCTGAATTCATTTTTGTTTTAAAATAGGAATGCGAATTGCAATACTGCTAGCCTGCAAATCGATGCTATTGACATAAAAGTCTATATGAAGTGCAATGTTGCTTCCGACAATCTTATCTAAATAATCATATTTTTAAATAAATAAGCATTAACGTAATCTCTACAAAGTAGCCTGTATATTTGTGAGCTTTCTCTTGATCGTGGTCTATCTTCTTCAGACAAATCAAAATATTTCTGTAAAGATAAATTACATAATACTCGAGTCAAGGTGTTATAATAAATTTTGAAAAATGAGTGCATCAATGCCAAGAGTATTTAAGATGTCTATAGTACCATATCGCAGGGGTGGGCAAGATTTTTGAACCAGGGGCCAAAAGTTTCGCCTACCTAGTCTCGCGGGCCATGTAGGTGTGACATAAAAAGTTACATTTTATGAACAATATTTACAGTGTTGCAAAGCAAAAGTGGAAAACAATAAGCCTCGTGCCAAAACTAACTTTAATTTGCAATCTCAACAAAGTCCTTGAACTTTTTTAACTAAAACATCAAATTTGGTTTCAGTTCGGTTGTGGCAGCATCAGGCGGGCCAGATTGAATTACCCAACGAGCCGGATTTGGCCTGCGGATCGTAGTTTGTCCATGTCTGCTCTATCGTATGACCTTTGCTGTTAATATGATTGGTGATGGGGTTGTTGGGGCTTTTTGATTATCTCTGAGATAGTATAAAAACTATGGGAGCTACATTTCAATAACCATTAACCAATATTGTAGTTCTCCAAATATTGTTTGGATATCAAATGTAATGGTATTCTACCTTTAGGAACTTGCTTTGTTTGGAGCGTTTCTCCAGCTAAAACATTGGAAGGTATAATGCAACTCAATCCTCGAAGAAAACTCGATGCACACAAAAAATATGGATTGAAGTGCAAATTTAGTCCCGATTCAGTGTGAGTATTTTTGTTTTATAAAAATAGCTAGAGTAGCTGTAGGTCGTATATAACATGCAATGGACCTAACTCCAATAAACTCCACCATTCAACTGCAAAACAATACTTTAAGGTGGAAATATTTTTGATCCTCCATTATGAATTTTAATTAGATACAGTCACATTGCATATTGTGTTCAGTATATTCTATGAAAATTTGTTGAATTTGATGTGTGAATGATAATTATAAATTATCTGAACAATCAACAAAACTAGTTTAAATACATATAACTGCTATATAGACGGGAGTTACCAATTTTAGCGCTATTTCACCGTGGCCCGCCCCACCGTGCCAACCGTGAATTACTAGAGGGATTGTTCAGTAGGGCTCAAGACAGTTAATACAAATATGTAATTTACTAGTGAATATCAAAATTATGGAACAAATCCATGGGCGCAAATTTCTTTAATATTGGTATTACTTTGCCCCAATGACTTTGAGATAAAAAGATAGGCCAATTCACATTTGTATCTGGTATAAGCTTGTGCAACAGGAGCAAGTTCAACGTCAGCATCATTTTGGTTGACGAAATAATAAATTTCTCTTATCCATAAAATTCTCTTTCTCTCTCTCTCATGGTTGACAACTAAAAATATATTAAACTGTTCCAAACAAACATATTTGCTTCGCCCTGAAGAAATACTCAGTTGACTGATTACATAACTTATTTAGAAAACAAAGACTTAACTCAACTATGAAACACAAACCTTTACCACATTATCAATATATTATAACATGGCTAGAAATGAAATTTGGGCTCAATTCACAATTTTTCAAATAAAGTAAGAGCAATATTAGATTTCATCGACAACAAAAAAAAGGAAATGCTTGGTTAATAATTAGCAGTGAAAGGAGTGGACTGTCATGGAAGAAAAAATTGACTACAATTTCATAAAAAAGTTGATATGTGAACTTCATGAGAAAAGTATAACTTGCAAGTAAAATTAAAAGTAAAATTCCAGGGCATATAAATGATATAACTATAAGTTTAAGAAGATGTGGCAAAGACGATTTCATTATTTTACTAGTTGGCAAGTATGGCGTTATCATTGATATTGTACGCCACCTATTTTTAGTCCAAGATTCCTCTGAAAAAATTCATTTATTAGCAAAATGAACCTGTTTCATGAGAAAATAAGGCCAAATGTTGCATAAAATGATCACTAAATATTTACTGTTTTATTTTCGAATGTCAGTAGTGTTTTCTCCAGATATGTACTTCGGCTTGTTTTACCAAATATTCACAGTGGCATTGTTGAAACTAACTAAGAAGTGGAAAAATTGACATTGCTTCTATTAATTCGGTGAATGGTAGTTTAAATTCATTAAAAATAGCATAATATTTGAAATAGTTTGATATGTAATAGGAGCATCTCTTTCCATTCGAAGTCTTTATATTTTCATATTTAAAGTAGGCCTACTGCAGATTTGATGAGGCAATATATCTCATTATGCAATTTATTGTTCAATTGAAGCTGTGACACTTTCAGGCATTTTATTACTGCACCACCCAGTAGTTATCTCAATGCTTCTATGCCTGACACAGCCTGAGATATGTCTGAGTCAATAAGCCAGTAGCCTAATTCAAATCAGGTCTTTTTTTGCTTTTTATTTTCACCATGCTTCGTCTTAAACTGTGCGGCAAGCCAATGCATTCCGTCATTCAATCCTTGACCTGTCACTGCACATGTAGACTGCAAATACCATCGTCGTGATGTGAGAGAGCTTATGTTTAGTTTGCTCCTAATTTCTTCTGCTCTCATTGCATTTGGCAAGTCCTGAAAAGAGATAATAATAATTTTGAGTTTCCCTGAAAATTCTCGAAAATCTCCCTCTTACTGTTTCCATGTCCACCAACTTAGCTCGCTTTTTCGTGGCTTTCAGCACTATATGTGTTTCTAGTTTCTTCATTTTTGTTTGACTATGGTCTTGTGTTCAGAGAATATTACATAAAGTTCACATAATAAACTTAATTAACAGTATGTGTTAAATTACATTGCTCATTTTTGATTGTTTTGGTTTATAGTTCGTCTCTGATTGATCTTGAAACTATATCCAAAAGAAAAAATCAATCTCGCTAATGAGTTAGTTCACTTAGGCCGTTGTTAACTGTTGTCATAAATCACAAATAAATCACTAATCCTGATTTTCAAATTTGCCCTCTTGCCTGTTTATTTGCGAGCACCAGCAGGACGCAATTTTTCAATTCTTCTTCATCAAGGAGGCTGTATAATTCTTCTCTCGCTTCCTCTATTCGTTCTTTATCGTTACTATCAATAACGAATATTATACCTAGAAATTTAAGTTTCAAGTTGTGGGACACAATATTTCATAAACGACTGATTATTTGAATATAACTTTTCAGTTCTACTGATTTATGATTAATGCATGGCATTGCTATATTGCGTAAACCAGGGCTTGAATGGTTGTATCTCATCTTCCAGTTCCCAATAGAAATTTAGTCTTAGATGTGTCATTAGGTAGTACTCCACCATCTCATTTTAATAAATTCGTTAAGTCAGCTAGTAACTAACAAAATGTTTAACATTAACCAAATAGAAAAACGGTCAGGTTACCATTATTGAACCCAAGTTTTTGACAAAATTTCATTAACTAGTTAGGCTACTTGTTTTCTTTCGCCGGTACCTAAAATGAAAGCAAATCCATATACCTTGCACATTATAAAAGTAGTGTCTCCATAGAGGTCTGATCTTGTCTTGTCCTCCAATATCCCATACTGTAAAACTTATGTTTTTATATTCCACTGTCTCCACATTGAAACCTGTGTATAGATATTAAATAAACAGTTTGTAATAATGTCTTACATGCAGTTTAATTGTTGATGTAAGCATGCGGTACATACACACCTTGCTGGTACCCAAGACTGGTGAAGACCGCAGGAACACTTAGGCTTGCTCATTAGAGCATAACTATCTGAAAATGTAAAAACATCACAGACCCCTTTGACTGATCTACTTTGTCTTTGCCCATTCAACCCGCATACTTTTTGTTTGCAGCTTGTCCCCCTATTCCCATATGCTGCATATAGAATCAAATAATGATCGTATTATTAACAAAAGAGCTCACCAATAGTTGGTATTGTTCTCACAATCTTTCCCATCTTCAAATTATACAAAATTGTTGTTTTTCCTGCGCAGTCCAACCCCACCATTAGTATTCGAATTTCTTTACTGGAAAATAGTTTTTTCAATATTCCGCTTTTCCCTCCTTCTTTATCACTGCTGGGGCCATTCCCCATGGTAGTTAGAAAGGGATGATTATCGAATGAAATCTTGTTGATGTCAACAGTAATTAAGAAAGTTCAAATAAGGTTGCCTATACGCCTGTCGAATCTATTTTCTTTGCTCAATTTCTTGTTAAGATGTAATAATGTATTAAAAATTGGCGTCTGAAACACAATTTGATGTTAGAAATTTCACCATACAAACATCTTCTTTTTCATTCAATTGTTTTAAGTTACATCTTGGTCTAATTAGAATTGGTATTTTGACTGAGGATTACATTATGTTCAAGTTAGTTGGAAATTTCCTCGCATTCTATAGAATTCTTACTATAAAAATTCTATATTCGCTCTGCTTGCCAAGTAGATTCGCTTCTCGAGAAAAACGATTTCCATATTACTATTCTGATAAGCAGCTGCAACGTACCGGTACAACTTGCTTTCGTTGGATAAGATTCTGACGATTTGCTGCTTTTATGATAAGATGACGATTTGAACTGAATAAGTTATTTGCATAGTCGATATGTGTGTGGTTTTGACTCAACTTTCATAGATACATATCGACAGGATATAAAAAAATAAAATATCGCATGACCACATAGTTTTGTCATCGCTAGAAGTAATGCGTAAGGTACGGCCAACGCAATGTCATCCAATCAATCTTAGCGTGTCTTTTTTGGTCATATCGAATGGATTATTATTATTATAGTCTAAGTTCTCGGACCTAACGGCCAACCACAAAGTGCGCATTTTTATAGTTACGTAGATCTATACATACAGTGACTGTTCAGTGACCATCATACCCTCGGAAATTACGTCGTAAACCGACTTAACTTTCTTTCCCAGCATTGCTTTAGAAACATTTACAAACCATATTTTTTGTTTTGTTTTTTTATTCGAATCAATGGATTGATGTTAATCAATGATTAATTAATTCATTAATCGAATTAATGGATAACTGAAAACATAAAATCCACCACTCATACAGTTTGCTGAGTGTTCACAACAATAAAAAACATGTTTTATCAATAACTCACTAGGAAGAATAGAGCCCTATGTCAGGATTGCATATTAGTAAAATATAGCTTCAATAAAAAATAATTTGGGAATTCACCTCAACCTTTGGAGGATAGCAAAAAAACAAGATGGCGGCGATTTCAAATTTTCGTCTAAACCGATTCGAATAATTCACCATGACCGCTTGTTTGGCGATTTCTGTTGACATATAACAAAATAATGATTCACAAATCGGTTTCATATAATTTGGATAGATCTCGTTGATGTTTGATATTGGGGTTTATGGAATTGCCGATTCCTCACAACCTCGGCATTCTGTTGCTTTACTGCCTAATTCAATATAAAATTGTTTATATTCCAGCCTACTTCATATAACAGATAACGTTACACTGAAATATATCGTCCTAGTAAGGTACAAAGGCTGCCTATGTCACCCCCAAAATAATTTTCTGTCCCCAACAAAATGTACCACATTCGATCGTTTTCCCACAACATAAATCATTCCACATCACAATATCATAAGCTTGCGTATAGCCCCAATGTGCTCACAATCCAGCGTTTTTTTTTCTTCAAGTTATTCCCTTTGAACAATAGTTTCATGTCGCCTCCGTAATTATTGACGCTGTCAACTTTCTTTTGTCTGGAAGTTACAAAAACAAAACATTCGTATCGTGCCGCCGTATGTCTATTGTCTAATTACTTTTCACGCTTCTGCAACCTCGCTCCGAAAAAACGGCTTAGCGTGGTATAATTGTAGTTGCTCAGTGGCCAGTAAATTATTATTGAGATGAACTATTATATTGATATTCTATTAACTGGTAACGAACGCTATTAGAAGCCATGACCCTATTCTAGTTTTAACCAACCACCCTTGCTAACTTATTTTCAGATACATACGTTACTGTAGCCTTTCCCAGGACTAAGTGTGTAACCATACAATTACCGTGCTAATCGCCCTCTTTAACAATTATCCCATAGTAACAGTTGTACTATTTTATGTTTGCGCCATATGGGCTTGTCGTCTCGAGCTAGATCAACTGAGCATTATACTGATTTTATACGTGTGACTGTGGCACTGAGTTCTCTGATAATTCCAAAATGTGTCCTATTAAATATTTGTGCGACTTTTATTGGGTTCTCCTGCAATCTTTCACATGGTAACCGCAAAATCTATCTAAATAATGTTTTATTTTTCACAATAATTCTGTAGACACACCACGGAACTAACTTGGAAACTCAATAAACTCTATTTTCATCTGTAATCTAAAGAAATTATGAACCATTGTACATATCCGTCTGCTGTAGTTTGTATGCCATTATTTCGAGTTGGCCTTACTTCTCAGTTTTATGTCATTGTACGACACCTTCCTTATTAAGTGTCGGAAATGTATCTTATTCGTCCCTTTACAGTGCCATGCAATAGCGTGAATTACTTGAAATAATAGTCATTGCGACAACCATAACTCTCATCTAAAGAATTTTATATTTGTACCTTATAGATAAACTGATTAACTTATTCTGCTATAAACTACAATATATCGTCGAAGAAAGTAGCATAATTCACGCATTTTGATGATCTAAATTCTATTTTCGTGATTTAACAAATCTTTCGTTTCTAACTTTGATTTCCTTCGGGCTAAATGCGCACGACCTCATCGACGTACTTTGCTGTAGGTAAATACTGCGTTAGCATAACAGATTATATTAGCTGATGTTTGGCTGAATTATATCGACGGCGGCTGTACGATAAGGCTGCTCGGTCCATAAATTTCTTTCATAATACTTATTCGGGGATGCTTTCGTTGTAATCGAATTCGTATGCCGAGATAGCGGAATTTTTCACTGAAGCATCGTCACGGTCTGGTGGACGCGGAAAATATTGCTTCAGCTATGGTGATCAGATATAGATGGTGTTTGCTATCAAGCCAATTTGTTTGCGATTCTTGCTTTTTAACATAAACACATTACAATCAAACCGAACTAGTTTTAATTCGAATTGTTCAAGTTTAAATAATGTCATAGTATTATTTAGGAAAACGATCACCAAAAACATATTTTTAAAGGCTTTATATTAGTGACCAAAATACGGTTACTGGGGTGGCCAAATTTTAGAGTTTGCCACGGCCTACCAAATTCATTTTGCTATAACTTTATTACGTGTTTTCTGAATATTCCTGAAGGATCGTTCGCTGTCGGTTTATCCTGAAGCTCCTTGCAAATTCTATTAATTTTGTTACAGGCTTCTTGCAACAACATCTGCCGATCAATCTGTAAAAATCTGGCAAACGTCAAACTTTCAACCCTTATCAACGTTGAAATTAAACAGTACAGACCCAGCTGATCCTCCCCACGGATGGATGTGGGATTGTGCGTTTTCTGCGGACTCTCAATATATTGTAACAGGTACCTTTACACAGCATAACTTTGGTGGTAGCATTTTGTCCAATTAGTAATTTGTATATATATAATATATACAGTATCACATTTGGTACCATTGCTTAAATTTAAAATATCCTCAACGGGTGATGGAATTTTGTGAATATTTCGTGAAAACTTCCGTTATTATTATCACTTCTACAATGATGAGCTATCATATCTTTTTGTTCTTTTCTGCAGCATCGTCTGACTGCATGGCTCGATTATGGAATATCGAACAAGGCGTTGTAAAGCGTGAATACAATGGTCACACCAAAGCAGTAGTATCACTGGCATTTAACGACACTATTTTATGAGATGTTTTTTCGAGAGCGACTAAGAAGTTTCTCCTTGCAAGTCTGGTGATGTTCTGTACGCTGTGATACTCTTCTTTATTAACCAGCTGAATTGAGTCGGTGATCAAGTTTCATGAGACCAAGTTTTAGGTGTAGGATATGGCATCCAGTGGAAATCATGTATTATATGGCTGTGGTATGCACCCGAAAGAACGACTTTCGGGAGATGTTCGAACTAGAGTACTGTATTACGGTTAAATTATTTTCAGTTGTGCAATGATTTTTCAATAAATTTGTAAATTTTCAAAGTGAAATCCATTTCTCGATTGGTATATGTGTGATATGCTTCACGTTTTGAAGAGCGAAACTGTTTCCAACATGTAGTCTATTTAGTTATGACCATTAGAGCGATTTGAATTCAAACGAATGGTTTTTGTTAACGAGATATATTTGCATGGAAAAATGTTGTATTTAGAAATATTCGCCTCCCACCGGCTTATTTTCTACCATATTCAAATCTTGCAGCGAAATAAAATCTTGCCCTATGCAACACTCCACGTGACCCGACTAGTTTAAAGCCTATTAAACTGCCTACGCCGAAATTCCATAATTTCTAATCATACGCCGTGTACCTCAAGATCGTTGGTTAATTCAAAGATTGGCGTCTGCAAGTTTTTTCCTATAAGACGCATTTTTGCCGAGTTGTCAATTACAATATCGTATATTCGTAAGCTTCTACTGAGGTAAATTAAAATATGCCCTTCAGAAGACTTGCTAATCTAATGTCTTGTCTTCAAATTATTAACGTCAGGTGATAAAATATTTTAATGCAGATGAGAAGTTATGGGAAGAATATCCTTGTACAGTAGGCTTGATCTAATGTACTCTTTGAAAAGTCTAAATGTGCCCCAGTTTGAGAACCCGTCTTAGACGAATGTATGCCACCGAGGTTCGATGGAGTGTAGGGAAAACTAAATTGCATATGGAAATCGTTCAAAAACGAAAAGCCTTGCTTCAGCGGTGTTCATGTCCTAAATTATAGAGATAATTCAATGTTTTTGGTCGAGAGTATACGCCTGGAACAAAACATACAAACAGCTAAAGCAATCCACTTTACGTAACTTCTGGTCTAAAATGAAAAGGATAAAATAGCGCCGCCAATATTCAATGGTCGAGTCTGATGCAAGAGCATTATTCTCTTGCGACACTCCTCGAAGACAATTTGATGCAGTGAACAAAGGTTATAGGTATTCTTCTCTATTTTAATTAAAATTCAACTTTACATGATACTGGGTCGCGCGTTCCTGGTAACCAAGTTCACAATTTTATTTGCTTTTGTCGAGGCGGCAACAGAAAAGCAACCGATATGTTGAAAGCGTGTTTATTATTTAGCTCCCATTTCAAATAATATCCGTATACAAGTTTTCGTACGCCTGGTAGTAATTTGGAAATAGACATGTAGTATGATTGTACCTAAAACCTCGTCTAAAAAAGATTACAACTTTCGTATCCGGGCAGACACGGGGCGTACACCCTACTTCATTGCCCTAAGCTCAGAAAAGTTAAAAGGTGTGAACGTTACCACACATCAGTATGGGCTCTTTTTGTAAAGCCTCGTTATAACTTATAAGTCACTAAAGTTAATATAAAAAATTATTCTGCAACCATATATTATTGTATTAGGATAGGGCCTATCATATGCAGACATGTATATTATATAATTTTGAAACTAATGACATACTTCGATAAGAAGTTATTATGTTGTAATTGATTTTGTGATAAATTTTTAAATTTAGAATCTATGATGCTCCCCATTGCTATATGGCTCTGTCGTGAATGGGGTACATACGCCCCCGGGCGCCAAGGTACAGGGGCGCCAAAATGGAAAAATTTCACAACAAGGGTAAAAAACCGGTCACAAGCAAGATTGCACCGGTGGCAGACATCTACTCTTCGTAGGCTACATGGCCAACTGCACACTTGGTCAGACCACTTACGTCGACCACCGACGTCATCAGACACATAGCTCGCGCACGGTCAGATTTCCATCGTAATTATGGTCAAATGATCAAAAAAGCTGACCAGGAAACAAAGCAAAAATTGATTTGGTAACGTTAGGTAACAAAATGCAAGAGGTTAATTACGTGGTTCTGTATCAATAAGTTCTTGCCTGCGCACTCCGATGTATGTTGATATATATATATTAGTTCTGTGCTGGAGACGAAAAGCAACGGAATTTGGTTGAATGATGTTAAACAACGAAGTGCTTGTAATACATGTTTTGAGTAATACGTGGTAAGCTGCTAAACGTTTCCAGGTAGCCCACGATGCAGACCTAACTTTTGGTGGCAAGGGATTGTTCAGTTCCCGCCTGGCAACGGCATTCGTAAAAAGTGTGGTTTTCTAAGCCCTGGGCCTAATATTTATAATGACTACAACTTGCAACGGCATCGCAACAACTCAGTTTGATGCATCGGTGTCAACCAGAAACCACTTTGACTCTCCTTGGTTTGATTGTGTCTTTTGGAGACGACTATTTCCCGAATCTGCGAATTTCTCTACAAATTTTCTTAACAATACCAGTTTCAATTGCAAGCTGTGATAGTCTTTCAACAAATTGAAACTTATTTTGTCGTATTCGCGTGCATCAATGGGACAGGATCGTCTCGGTGATGTTCTAATTCAGGCGTCGGCAAACTTTTGTTATTCGTGGGCCAAAATTTAAGGTTGCAAGTCATTGGTGGGCCTCATATATTTTAGAAAGTTGAAAACCGAGGGAATGGTCAATGGATCACATTTTTTCACACAGATTTCAGTTAAATTTCAAGCAGCGCGCGAAGACTGATCATTTTCTGCGCCATTAAAGCATTTGCACTCAGCATCAACTTTTTTACGTTCTGTTGCCATTTGTCTATCTATAATCAATTTACACGAGGGATTGTAAATTATATACTTGCTAGATTATCAGTGGCGGCGCGTCAATAGGGCCAACCGGGGCAATGCCCAGGTTGTTTTTTCGGTATAATGAAAAATATTCGAAAAATACCTCAATATCGGTTGCACAGACTGTCTACACTAGCCATATTCTCCCGACATGGTTCATTTTTCGCTCGCAAAGCCTTCGCCGAACGTCGACGGGGCGACGCCGATTTTGCCCCGGTTGCTCATTGTATATCGTATTCTCTCTTTTATCTTCCACTCGCCGCGTTTGTCTCGTTTGTTTTCTGTTTCTTTTACTAATTCATCGGGGCTAGCCCCGAAATTATGACGACACAATGCCGACGTTTCTTACAACAACGTGTTGACATATTCACGCATTCCTTCTCGTTCGTTGGTTGCTTAGAGAGTTGATAGTTTCCTCGCCTTCGTTTTTGTCGCTCGTTTCGCTATTTGAATCAGTTAGAGACCTTTAGTCCATTTGCTTTCGATTTTCCACATTCCTTTTGAGCTCCTCACTTCTTTCCGGCTTCGCATTTCTTAGCCTTAGACCTCATAATGAATAAGGTTGATGCACTACTTCGCACTCCGTTTTCGCAGCTGCCGCTGGAACAAAAATTAGAGGTACAACGTCTTGGTCCTTATCAACCAAAAAATTGTTCACTGGAACAATCCCATGACGGAGGAAAGCGTCGGCGTACATTCTGCGCAGAAACTTGGTATAAAAAACACGAATGGTTGTGTTACAGCGAGGACAAAAATGCACTTTTTTGTTTTTATTGCCTACTTTTTGCTACCGCCCGTGACTCACGTTGGTGTAAATTTGGTTTTAGAGATCTTAAACATCTTTACGAGCGTGCCAGGGATCATCAATCTTCTATGGAGCATCTGGACAATGCAGTAAAATACCGAACATTCGGAAATGTTAATATTGCAGCACAGTTGGATGAAGGACGCGCGGTTTCTATTCGTCGGCACAACCAAAACGTCGAGAAAAACCGCCATGTTCTCGGTCGATTGATAGATGTTTTGAAGTTCATTGGTTGTCACGAGCTGTCCCTCCGTGGGCACGAGGAACGGGCTGGCTCTTCTAATAGAGGGGTATTTTTGGATATGGTGGAATACACCGCATCCCTAGATACAGTATTAAGAGATCATCTTGATGCCGCAACTGTTTCGAAAGGGACATCTAAGGATATCCAAAATGATTTGCTCGACTCAATGTATAAAATTTATTTACAACATCTGGCTCTGGAAATTGAGAATTGCCAGTTCCTTTCGATTCAGTCTGACGAGACAACTGACATCACGTGCGTTTCCCAACTGGCTGTGATTTTTCGGTTTGTGAAAGATGGTAAACCTACCGAGAGATTTCACAGCTTTGTACCAATCGTTGATCGCACGGCTTGCGGGATATCGGCTGTACTGAAAGAAGTGTTACAGCCTTACAACGCGAAGTCAAAATTGATAGCTCAAACTTATGACGGCGCGGCAGTCATGAGTGGGTCGAAACATGGTGTTCAAGTTTATATAAAAGAAGATTTTCCTCATGCGCATTTTTTACATTGTTATGCACACCAATTTAACCTCGTTATTAAAAATATGTGGCTTGATGGCCGTTCCGCCGAAGCGCTCTGACCTCCTTCGCCAGATATGTAGCCGCCGTCTCCCAGCTTGTGCACCGACACGTTGGAACTTCCAATCACGCGTGGTGCAGGGCGTGTCCGAAATTAGGTCTGAGCTCATTGAGTGTTTCAATGGCATTCAGAGCTCTCCGGTTTGGGACGAACGCTCTGATAGGGAGACGGCAGGTCTAAAGCGTCTGCTAGAAGATGGTGAGTTTTCATTTTTTCTCGCTTTTTTCTCCACAATATTCTATCACGTGGATGTATTATACGGCGCATTGCAGTCAAGGCTAATGGATGAAGCGTCTGTGCAGTCGTGTATTCCAGACTTCTGCGATGCTGTATCTCGTATCCGGGAAACAATAAAATACGACGACACATGGAGTGCTTGTTTACGCCGCGGGCAAACAACGCAGCGTTTGATTTTGTCTGCAAAGGAATGCTGTGACATTCTGGTGAATCAAATAGGCGATCGTCTGCGCACTGAACACCTTGCCGCGTTCTCTTTGATGAACCCCAAAAATTTTTCAAAATTTGCACGTCAATTTCCCATCCATTTGTTGGCTACTGTCTCCAAATTTTACCCCATGATAAACGTGGGTAAATTGGAAAATGAATTGCGATGTATATACACAAATCAAACTTTTTTGAACATCACATCAACTTGCGCGCTCTATGGGTTCCTCATAGATAACACTCTAGTAACTACTTTTGCGGCGTCTGCAAAATTTCTGGACATCATTTTGACGACGCCTA